ATTTAGTCTACACCCTTTCAGTTTTAAAGTAAATCTCTGAATCTTCCGTTATTCATTCATATCTATTCATATGTTCTAACAATTCTTATAGTAAGAAAGTTAAATAAAGTATCCCTTTCAAAGACAAATTATGATACACATAAATTTAAAGTCTGAACAATGTAACCATAATTTTAAAACTCATACTGTTAAACATCAACAGGCTGATACAACATCTGTTTCTCAATTTTTCACCCAAGTTGTTATGGTAACCAAAACAGGTAGGCTATGTGTTTCCTAAATTTAACTGATTATTTCAAATAAATAAAATAATATATCAGGTTCTTAACTATCAATAATATTATTACTGCAAACCTATATTTATCTTTTTAAATGTGTGGATCACAAAATTACAATTAACTAGGCATTTAAAATGTTTTATCTCAGAATTCACATTTTTAATAAGCAAGGTCTTTTTGTTTCTAATTTGGGGGTTTTACCTTGATTTTAAAATGAAATTAAGAAATGAGTATAGTATGTTAAAATACTCTCACAATTATAGGATTGTGCTGCTTTGCGGTAGATCACGTCCTTTTCAAACGTAAGTCAGATCCTGCCACTCCTCCAGTGCTCTGCTCAAAACCTTCCGTTAGTGTCCCATCTGTAACCAAAAGCCAAAGTCCTCACGAGGACACAAGGCCCACACCGTCCCCCTTCCCGTGCTCAACCCACTCTGGGCTCACGATTTCCTCACTGCTCCTCCAGCCTCAGAGCTTTGTACTCTAGGCCTTCTGCCTTCGCGGGGCCTCTTTCCCCAACATCACAAGCTCAAGTCTGTGATCAAGATCCAGCTTCTCAGTGAAACCTTCTCTGGTCAACTCCATTTTAAACTGCTATTCCAGCAACCCTCCCACCTCCGCTCTCATGTTACCTGTCTACTATGAACTGAACTGTGCTCCCCCAAACTCGTATTTTGGAAGCTGAACTCCCAACGTGACTGCATGGGGGACAGAGTCTCTGAAGAGGTCATGAAGGTTAATGACATCATCGGGGCTCTGCTCTAACAGGATCAGCGTCCTTCTAAGAAGAAACTCCAGAGAGCCCCTGCCACCCCCCACCATTAATTATCCATCTCCCTTTATTGTGCAAAGACAGGGATTTTTATCTATTGAGTCGACCTCACATGTAACACCTATAATCTGGTACACAGCAGGTGATCAATAAAGATCTGTTGAATGCATAAGGTAGAAATTTAAAACATCTTAAATGTTGATCTCCTATGGTAGGAAACAATACATTTCCATGATAATATTCAAGGAATTCAATAAAAAATAAAAATGTATGATTTTCAGTAAGTTAAATGAAAAAAATCAAAATTACAAAACTTTTGTATCCTGAACACAGAACTACAGAATCACGGTTTCTTGGTTATCCTCTGTGAATCTGATTCAAAACAGGCTCCGTCTTCCTCACACCAATGACAACACCTAATACTGTCACTTTGACCTCCTCTCCTCACTTCCTCAGGGAACTCAGCCACTCTCGCCACTGCAACCATTCCCACTTTTTGGATGAATCTGAAATCCACCTCTCTGGCCCACACGTGACTGAGCTCCGGAACTGTATTCCCAGCTACTTCTGAGATGAGCGTCCCCTCAGCCACACGGCCCGTGAGTCAGAGGACAGGGGGCTGTGGGGGAATGGAACACTGCACCCACTGGAGCAGGAAAAAAATCCCAGGAAAATATAATTTTAAAATGTAGTCTTTACTGGCACACAGACTCACATAACTCTTTATACCGCCTGAGGAGCTTCCTTCTTTCATTACTGAAATTAGACCTATGGTAGGCAATTCCAATTTCTGAGTTACGACTATAGATTCTAATTAACAATATACTCTTGTACCACCAGTTTCACTTCACCCACTGAATTATTCCCAATATTGTAGTAGAGTTTTATTACTTTCAAATTGAATTTAATCACTTGGGGGGGGATATAAGGAATTATATGAGGTTTTCAAATTAAGTTTCTAAACCAGGATAGTTTCTTTTTAGAAGAAACACAGCTCCCTTTTTCTTTCGTCCTTGGCTCCCAAATAACAGTTCTCCAAACATTTTTCTTCATACTCACTAATCAATTCATTATTAAAGGCTTCTCTGAAGAACTAGAAGTAAAAATACATTTTTTTACTTTAGTAATTTAATGAAGAAATGACAACCCAGAATTTAGAAAAGGCTTCAGATGAAAAGTCAGCTAACAGAACTCATTATCCAATTTAACAAACTATCTGTTTTTAGAATTTCACTGAGTACAAATAAAAAGAAAATTCCCAGAGAAATATGGTTATTACAGCTCCAGAGATACGGCCTCCCGAGGTGCCGTAAAGGCCGTGGGCAGCACTGTGGAGATCTCTACGTCATGATGTTCAGTATAAATCTGTGACTAAAAAAGTACATCATGCCCCTGGCTTCTACTGCCCTTTTAAGATGAATGGTTACTAAATATCAGGTAAATTTCACTGCTATTTCTTTCTCAAATATTTTTTCTTCAAATTAAAAGTAAAAATAAAACCTAGTTAGGACAGACTGAATGTCTGTGTACCACCCTAAATTCGTATGTTGAAATCCTAACCCCAAATAGGACAGTATTAGAAGTGGGACCTGGCTCGGTGCCTGTCGCCCAGTGGTTAGGGCACCAGCCACATACACCAAGGCAGGCAGGTTCGAATCTGGCCCGGGCCTGCTAAACAATAATGACAACTGCAGCAACAACAACAACAACAAAATAGTGGGTTTTGTGACAGGCACCTGTAGTCCCAGCTACTTGGGAGGCTGAGGCAAGAGAATCACTTAAAAGCCCAAGAGTTAGAGGTTGCTGTGAGCTGTGACACCACAGCACTCTACCCAGGGCGACATAGTGAGACTCTGTCTCATAAAAAAAGAAGTGGGACTTTGGGGAGATGATTACATCATGAGGGTAGAGCCCCCATGAATAGGAGCAACACCCTTATAAAAGAGGCCGCGGAGAACTGCGTTGGCCTGCTACCATGTGAGGTTGCAAAGAGAAGCTAGCTGCCTGTGAGCTGGGAAGCAGGCCCACGCCAGGCATTTGGATCTAACATTCTCCAGCCTCCAAAACCGTGAGAAATAACTTCGTGCTGTTTATGAGCCACCCGGTCTATAACCTGCTAGAGCAGCCCAGAGGAACTGAGGCAGGCGTTTACAGCCATGCCTAGCTGCCCTCCTGCTCATGAAGGACAAAGTGCGGGCAATCTCTCGACAAATCCTGCCGGCACTTCTGTCAACCTTACCCAGAAACGAACCACTTCTTTCCCACTCTCTCACTCCCCGGTAGCTTGGTCCAAACCACTGTTTCTCTTACCAGGATTACTGCTAGTCTCCTAAATAGTCTCCTGGATTCTACCCTACACAGCCACTCTACAGTCCACCGTCCACACAGCTCCAGAGATCACACTAGAACGTGAGTCGGATTAAGTCACTCTCCTACGCAACACCCAGCAGTTTCCCCTCCCACTTGAAGAAAAAGTCCAATTCTTAAATGGCTTACAAGTCCCTTCATGGTCTGTTTCCCTCGGCCTCGTCCTGACCTGCTCTCCCCTCCCTTACTCGTTGGCCCAGCATCTTCCTCACCACACTCTCACTCCAGGGCCTCTGCATTAGCTGCTCCTCAACCCAAAGGCTCCCCTCCAGAATCCACAGGACCGGCTCCCTGCTCCCCTGCTTCCTTCCAGGTTCTATTCCGTGAGGCCGTCCTTGAAAACAGAACACAAGCTCGTGCCCCTGCTCTGGAGCCAGCCCCTCCATCTCTTACCTACTTCATGTTTCCCCACATGCTCAACACTTCTCGACATACTGGAGGTTTACTTGTTTGTCATTCAGAACATTAGCTCCAAGAAAGCAAAGACGGTTTTGTTTCCCGCAACAGAACACAAAATGTTAGATTACCAATAAATATCAATGAGTATTTAGTTTCTTATCCCAAACTAGATGCAGATGCTTCTTCCTTCAAATCCACACCACCGTATTTCTACTTTGGATAAATCGTATTCTTTGTATGACTAATCCTTTTGTACTTATCGTAGCATCCTTCCTACAAACATCAAGAACACTGTCTCCTCTTTGTGCCACCTGCATCGAAGCGTCACGTCTTTCTTTTAACAATACTGTTTGCAGAGCTTCACATGAAGCCAGGCTGAAAGACACTTCCAGAATACACCTGGATCTGTTGTGTTACCACTTAGCAGTACCAACTCTTAAATTGCTAAAGAATGTTCTGCTTTCATAACCCACCAGAAAATTTAATGGAAGTGACACAGAAGAGAGCCTGGCTTGGAAAGGCCCCGGCACCACTCCGTGCTGATGTGGAAACCACAGAAAGCATTTCTGAATGATGTCAACAAGTCAAAAACTTCTCCGAGGTGATAAAAACGACTTGGGAGAAAGCTGCCTCAGCTTGATCCATTAATGAATCCTACAGAAAACGAAGAGCCAGACAGCCCATGTTTCACTTTATCTCTATAAAGAATTAAATAACCAGAAATGCACTAACATGATTTCTTTTTCTAAAACAAACAAACAAAAAAAAAAACCTGGCATTGCTATTGTAATTAATACTCACTTGACCCCAAAATTTTATGCAAATCATTAACTGCTATTTTTAATAAAAAGCTTAAAGCACCAACGAAAGACTGAATTATGATCACTATATTTTTTTTTAAAAAAACTAAAATGCCTTAAGTTTTAAGCTTTCATCAAATCAGTTAAAAGTCTGATACTTTACCATCCAGAAAAGTCAACTGTACACAGCAATTTATTCTCCAGGACTTGTGGATAAGCAGAATTTTACTTTTTGGTCAAATTCTTTAAAAACTAATAATCCATAATTACAGTAAACAAAATAATTGACAGGATAGAATTCTTTTCCCAACCAAAAGAAGTTAACCTCATTAAAATAAACAGTACGGTAAAAATAATTTCCTGCCTCACACAGTGTTAGCTCACCTGCGGTATAAGTCTATCCAGGTACTCAGCCCGGTTTCCATGAGAAGGATGTGTAGACAGCCATTCTGGCAGCTTGGGATGACCGTGGAGGCTGTCCGCAAAATCCATCTGCTGCCAGAACACTGAGCTGGCTCTCACATCCACACAAGCCTAAAACCAAGAGTAACAAAACCACACAATGAGCTCTGTTTTGAGAACATTTCTTTTTAGTTATCTTTATGTCACTATATGTTTTAAAACGTTTTCTATCATAACTTTTTAATAAAAGATATGTTTAGTGCTTTAAAAAGAAAACTCGACGTAGTACAGAAATAAGAGGATGCCCCCCCCTTCAATCCCTCCCTTACACATTCACAATAATCCCACTCCCCAAAGACAACCCGTTATTTTCAGTATGAAGGAGATTAAGAATATGTATTTAGGGTAAAACCTTTCACACAAATTAAAAATTTCTGTTTTCATAAAAAGGTTTTAAAAACTAATCTACGCTAAAGAAATTTTACTTCTAATCTACAGCACTAGAATAATTACAAAAAAGGTTTCAAATAAATAAACAGAAAGACAGTATGCCGCTGTATGTTTAATGTGCTCGTCAACTTAACTACTTTCCTTCAAAGTATGTGGGGAAGAATATATTTAACTCATTCAAGACAAAAAAGTACTAATACTGAACTTTTTTAGGATATATGTAGACCTTGTGTCCACGTATACACAATTCCATCCTCGACTCACATGCATACTACACATACACACCTGCACATACACAGAACACATCTGAAGGCTGTTAACAGTAGCTGTTCTATGAATGCAACTGGGGGCTCAGCGCCTGTAGCTCAGCGGCTAAGGGTGCCAGCCACATATACTGGAGCTGGGCAGGTTCGAATCCAGCCTGGGCCTGCCGAACAACGACAACTGCCATCAAAAACTTGCCGAGCATTGTGGTGGGCGCCTGTAGTCCCAGCTACTTGGGAGGCTGAGGCAGGAGAATCGCTTAAGCCCAAGAGTTGGAGGTTGCTGTGATGCTATGGCACTCTACCGAGGGCGACAAAGGGAGACTCTGTCTCAAGAAAAAAAAAAAAAAAGAATGTAACTGGGGTATTTGATGGTAATAGTAAAGAGGAAGCAAGAGTTTTACTTCTGAATTATAATAAACGGTACTGTTTTAATAAAAACAAAATTTTAAATCCTCCATTGGGTGACTTAAAAAAAAACATATATAATAGAATCTCACTTTATTGCCCTCAGTAGAGTGCCATGGCGTCACAGCTCACAGCAACCTCCAACTCCTGGGCTTAGGCAATTCTCCTGCCTCAGCCTCCCAAGTACTGGGACTACAGGCACCTGCTAGAATGCCCGGCTATTTTTTTGTTGCAGTTTGGCCAGGACCAGGTTCAAACCCTCCACCCTCGGTATATAGGGCCGACGCCTACCCACTGAGCCACAGGTGCCACCCAACTTAAATATTTTTATAAGTCCATTCAATTTATTTACATTTCTTAACTTACTGTTTCTATAAGTAGTAATAGAAAAACAAGTGATTCTATTTCCCTACTCTTTTACTTCTGATTAAAACTTTAAAAAAAGCCTGGCCCAATGGCTCATGCCTGTAATCCCAGCCCTTGGGAGGCTGAGGCAGGTGGACTGACTGAGCTCACAGATTTGAGACCAGCCTGAGCCAGAGTGAGACCTCCTCTCTAAAAAATAGCTGAGCATTGTGGCAGGCACCTATAGTCACAGCTACTTGGGAGGCTGAGGCAAGAGAATCACTTGAGCCCAAGAGTTTGAGGTTACTGTGAGCTGTGATGTCATGGCACTCTACCGAGGGTGACAAAGTGAGACTCTGTCTCAAAAAAAAAAAAAAAAGTATATATATATATATATACATTTATATATATATATATATAATCACACTGCTATTGATACCAAGTGCTCTCGAAAAGGTCTAAAGTCATATAGTCAGGACACCCAGAAAGGCAAGCGTAAGCCCCGTGTGCTGACACAGCCAGTCTGAATCCATGCTACATCATTTCTTAACAGACACCATTAAAATATTTTTAAAGGTTGGGAAAATAAAAGGAAAAAATAATTGGAAATTCGAGTAAGACCTAACACAGTGGCTCACGCCTGTAATCCCAGCACTCTGGGAGGCTGAGGCAGGCAGATCTTTGAGGCCAGGAGTGCACAACCACCCTGAGCATCATGATGAGATCTCCATCTCTACCAAAAATAAAAAGCATTTAGCCAGGCATAGTTATGGCAGGTGCCTACAGTCCCAGCTACTCAAGAGGCTGAGGCAGGGGAATGGCTTGAACTCAGAAGTTCGAGGTTGCTGTGTGTTAAGATTGGGCCACTGAATTCTAGCCTAGGAAACAGAGCAAGACTCTGTCACACATAAAAAAAAAAAAAAAACCCTAAGCCACAAACAACACGCACAAAAAAAGAAATTCAAGAAGTTTTATTCAATTCAATATTTAAAGAAATATAATTAAGATCTTTGAGTATTCTGAATTAAAAGGAATGCAACGTACTTTACCCTATTGCATATAATATTACATGTATATACTTGTATTAATATACGTATACAAATATAAAATATATAAAATATATAAATGTATATAACAGAAAAAGTATATGGACCCATGATCCATGCTTACACGTACATAGTACCTATCTATAAATGTGCAAGATGCGTGTGTGCTTACATGTAGAATATGTGTGTAATACGTATCTACACAGAAATAATTATTCAATGCTGAATATGTTCCTCACAGCAGATAACCACATTCACAACATAAATACAAGCTAAGATGAGCAAGCAAGTATTCTTCTGAAATAATTCACAAACATAAGATGACTTGAAAGAGTACCAACTCAAATAAAAAACTCTGAAAACCAGAAGATAAACATTTCAATAGACTTAACACGTTCATGAATTATGTAATTACTTGGGGTTTGTCTGCTACACAAACCAAAAGCATACTTACCTAATTTTTTTAGCCTGAAAGTGTTAATCAAAACACAAGTAAAATATTTCCCTGTTCAAGCTCTAAATAGCACAGTTGCAAGAAATATTTGAAGCAATAACTGATATGCAGAAATAGAAGAAATTAATTACCCCAACAGATTAGGAAGTATTCCAAATTCAAAAGTATTAAAATGGGACTAGAGATATCCGCTTTACTTATTAAGATAAGGGCATCAGAGTTCGTCTACACATCCAAACTCAGTTTAAAGACCCATTAAAGTCACATCATTTTGTTTCCAGAATGAGGATTTTATTTATATTTTTCTAATTTATAAAAAATAAATGATAGAGTGACACTGACAAGATGGCAGACTGGGAAAGCCCTAGATCCTCCTCCCAAGGAACACACAGATTCAACAACATACAAATTCCTTTTGTGAGAAATCTTAAAACTAGATGAGGGCTTCTGCACCCTGGGCAAGTCAAACCCAGCCAAATAAAGCCAGGAGGACAACTGGAGACCTCACCCACTCTTAAACCTGCAGCTCCCAGCTGCTCTTGAGGAAAGACAAAGGTGGCCTTTCTATCAAACACTGTGACTTTTCTAGGAGCTGCCCAAGGGACAGCTGTATAGCACTAATGGAACCTGGAATGCTTAGACATCTGGGGACCAACAATGGCAGAGACAACAATTTGAACAAGCACATAAGCAGTGGCCATTGCCCCACCCGAGGCTCAGTGCAGAGGAAATGGGGAAAAAACCCAGATCCCAGCTTCTCCCTGGGGAGGAAGACAGTAGACCACACGTCCAACATGCTAACATTTCTGGGGGCTGCTCAAGGGACTGGCTTCTACCTCAGCTGTCTTAGAGCATCCATGCACCCAGATTACTTCCCATACCTAGAAGCTGCTAAGAACAAAGACCATGGTTTGGAGTAGCAGGACTGTGAGAGAGGCTCCCGGGATCTCTGCTGGGCTGGGGGTCAAGGTGTTCTCCTGCACAAGGCCGGTCTGTGAACACTGGGAGAGGTGGCTACTTTTTCCCCTAATGTGCAGATACCAACAGAAGGAGTCAACGAAAATGAAGAAACAGGGAATTATGCACCAAAGGAACAAGAGAAGTCTCCAGAAACCAACCATAATGGAAGGGAAACATGTGATTTATCTCACAAGAGAATTCAAAACAACCATCACAAAGATGCTTAAGGAGGTCAAAAGAACAAAGTCAGAATTGAACAGAGAGACAGAAAATGTAGGAAGGTACCACCCAGAAAAATCCTGGAGTATATTCCCCAGTGGCCAGTGGGTTAAAGAGGAAACCAAAAGGAAAACCAGAAAATACCTTGAGACAAATGGAAATAAAAACACAGCCTAACAAAACCTATAGAATACAATAAACCAGTTCTAAGAGCACACAGGACTTTATACTAAAAAATGCCCTATTAAGAAAAAACTTAATCTAACTTTATATTTCAAGGAACTAGAAAAAGAAAAACTAATCCCAAAGTTAGGAGCAGAAAAGAAATAATACAGATTAGAGCAAAAATAAAAGAAACAGAGAATGAAATAGTAATAGAAAAAATAAATGAAAGGGCTGGGGTTTTTGAAAAGATAAAATTGACAAATCTTTAGTTAGAGTAATGCAAAAAAAAAAAAAAAACTCAATATACAAAATCAGAAAAGAAAAAGGAGACATTACAACCAATGCCACAGAAATACAAAGGATCACAGACTCCTCTGAACAAGTACGCGTGACAAACTGTATAACCTAGAAGAAACGGATAAACTCCAAAAAAACAGACAACCTACCAAGACTAAATCAAGAAGAAACAGAAAATATAAACAGATCTATAACGAATTAGTAGACTGAATCAATCATCAAAAATCTCACAACAAAAATCTCACATCAAAAATCTAGCTTCACTGGTGAATTCTCCCAAGAACATTTAAGAAGTTAAAGCCAATCATTCTTAAACTCTTCCAAAGCTTTATTTTACAGTTTTTGGGTTTTTTTTTTTTGGCCAGGGCTGGGTTTGAACCCACCACCTCTGGCATATGGGGCCAGTGCCCTAGTCCTTGAGCCACAGCGCTGCCCTAGCTTTATTTTATTTTATTTTTTTCTGAGACAGAGTCTCACTATGTCACCCTCAGTAGAGTCCTGTAGTGTCACAGCTCACAGCAACCT